GAGATCAAAGAGACAGCACAACCAATAGACAGAAGCTTGGAAAGACTACAGAAACTATGACCATGGAAAACAAACAAACTCAAATTCGAGTATTCTAAACTACAGAATTTTCAACCTGAAATTTTGCAACCATCAAGTCCAAACCTTCATTTCCTATGTCATCCGTGGCTACAGACCAAAAAAGCCAAAGTGATCTGCCCCAGGCCACAGGGTAGGTCAGTGTCAGTGCTGGGGCTAAGCCCGAGCCTGCTGACTCCGGCTCTAGGCCTCCATCCTCCATGGGCTGATCGCAATCCCCACTTGAGGCCCAGACAAGACTGCAACTTCGCACACATGGGACCAGTGGCAGATGCAGGCCTCTACCGTCCAGACTTCGCCACGAGACAGTGCCTGTGCTTTTGACTGAGGCTGCGGGGCTTGCCCAGCACGGCCTCCATCTGCTCAAGTGAACGTTGTGGCCATTCAGCCCATTCCCCTGCCTCCGGACTGGATCAGAGCACTGTCAACTGACCTAGCAATTCTAAACCTAGCTACGTGCCCAAGAAAACGGAAAATATGTGTTCTCATAGAAACACGTATGTGCACATAAATGTTCACAGTAACATTCACAACCGCCAGAAAGTAGAAAAAAAAATCCCAAAGTCCATCAACGGATGAAGGGCTAAACAAAATGTAGTGTATCTGCACAATGGAATATTATTCGGCCATAAAAAGGAATGAAGTACTGACATTTGCTAAAACATGAACTTTGAAAACATTATGCTGTCTTGAAAAAAAAAAAAGAGCCAGATACAAAACACCACGTACTCTATGATTCCAGTCATATGAAATGTCCAGAATAGGCAAATCGTATATAGACAGAAAGATTAGTGGTTGCCAGGGAATGAGAAGAGTGGGGAGTGGGAAGCCACAGCTAATGGGTTTCTTTTTGGGTGATGAAATGTTCTAGAAGTAAATGGTGGTGAAGGCTGCACAACTTTGTGAATATATGAAAAACCACCATAGTGTCTACTTCAAAAGGGCAAATTTTAGAGTATATGAATTATATCCAATAAAGAAAGGAAAAAGATAAAACCCAGATAGTATGGACAATGATAGATGTGAGAGAAGCAGTTTTATTCTCCAAATGGAGGTTTCCAGACTCCTGAGATGCCTACAAATGTACTCAGAGGACACTTTCCAAGTTCCACCAAAATAATATTCCCCAGAGCACATGCCATATGCTCAGTATTTCCATAAAGAATGAGATATGAGCCTGCCTCTCACCTAAGACCCAGGTGGATCAACTCAGTATCCTGTAACTTTATAAAGTCATCTAAATCCAGGGTAGGAGGAAAGCAGGAAAAGTAGAGAGAACTTCTGCTGACACCAGCTAAATCTCCTGCTATTGTGGGAGAAATGTTGCCCTGCAGGTTTAGGAAACACCCATTGCGCTAACACATCTGAGAGGTGGCAGCCAAAGCCCTGGGGAAGAAGAGCCGTTCACTAAGAAAAGCGAGGGAGGGAAAAGCCCATAAAATATCTCTAGAAACCCATAACCCTAACTTTCTTTTTCAAAGATTTTATTTATTTATTTATTTGAGATAGAGAGAGCAAGAGAGCGAGCGAGCGAGTGAGCAGGAGCTGGTGGGAGCTACAGGCAGAAGGACCAGGGTTCGATCCCAGGATCCTGGGATCATGACGGGATCATGACCTGAACTGAAGGCAGACGCTTAACCGACTGAGCCACCCAGGCGCCCCCTAACTTTCAAAATCTAAAAGACAAACCAAAAACCTAGCCTGTTCCCACGGTCACTGAATCCACTAGCTTAATTCCTCTTTGGATGTATGAATTGCCACAGAAACTCATATACCCCAAAGCAGATCCACACCCCCCATCCCCACCGGTTGTGAAAGTTAATGTATACAAGGGTGTGGGGACTGTTCTGACTTCCTGTAATAAAGTGCTTGACACAGCCCAAACTCAAGTCTATCTGTGACCCCACTTTGCCTGTTACACAAATCCCTCTGTAATAAATTCACTTCCATGCATTTTCACTATTGCATCAAACATAAAGTTTCTCATGTGCACCCTTTAAACTGGCCTCTGTGAGTCACTGTATACATTACATCCTCAGTTTCTTAACATCAGTTACTGTATCCACCATGAAAGCACACAGGACAAGACTCCCAAGTGACATGATATACACTGAATCACTGTGCTTTCCACTCAGCTTACAATAAAATCCCAACTCCTCTTCAAGGTTTTTTGCAGGCTGAAGGCACGCCGGCTCCCCTAGTGTAATGTTCTGAAGGGTAGGAAGGGGAAGCACCCTAACAGAACAGTCTATTTCAACACACAGCCCATAGACTGCAAACTGGAGACTACAATCCACTGCAATTATAGGCTGGCTTTTAGAAACACAGCTGCTCCTGCCTCTCTCCAGTTTCATCTTGTATCAATCCTTCCCACCCTCACCCCTCACCATACTTCAGTCCCTCCAGCCTTCTGTGTTCCTCCAATATACCAAGCTCTTTCCCACGTTGGTCCTTTACACTTGCAATTTCCTTTGCCAGGAACACTCTTTGCCTTGCTGGTTCCTTCTTGTCAGTGGGGTCTCAACTCATGTCACCTCTGAAAAGACTTCTCTGACCATTTAATCCAAAGTAGTTGTGTCACCCCATCACTCCCAATCACTATCACTTCGCCCCTTGCTGTCTTCACAGCATTTACCACTATCTGACGTTATCTTGTTCATCTACTTGTTGACTTGTTCACTGTCTGTCTCCTCAGACTAGAAAAGCTCCAAAACGGGGGCGCCTGGGTGGCTCAGTCGTTAAGCGTCTGCCTTCGGCTCAGGTCATGATCCCAGGGTCCTGGGATCGAGCCCCGCATCGGGCTCCCTGCTCGGCGGGAAGCCTGCTTCTCCCTCTCCCACCTCCCCTGCTTATGTTCCCTCTCTCGCTGTGTCTCTCTCTGTCAAATAAATAAATAAAATCTTTAAAAAAAAAAAAAAAAAAAGCTCCACAACGGTGGGCATCTTAACCCTCTACTTCACAACTACATTCCTAGGTCTTGGCACAGAGCAGACACTTGTATATTTGTTGATTAAATCAATGTGTGCCAGAAATATGTACTGCTAACTTATTACCTCTTAAAAACCTCTGAACAGGGTGCAATGCTATAAATGCCACTTTATTAAGTTTTTCCCTATGGCAAGGGAGGGTGTGACTTTTCCTGTTACATTCTTATACCATGCTTGTTTTTTTTTTTGTTTTTTTTTTTGAGGTTCTAGCAGGGGAGCGCAGCTACTCGTATACCCTTGACTGAAGAACGGTCCTCCTCTATCGGGGAAGGTCGTCCTCTTTGACCAAGCGCGCAGCTTCGGGAGGGACGCACATGGAGCGGTGAGGGAGGAAGGGGACACCTGCCTAGCCAGCCAGATCAGCCGAATCAACCCTGGCGATCAATGGGGTGACAGATGTCGCAGCCAGATCACCCTCACATCCTACCATGCTTGTTCTGAATGTGGTCCAGAAAAAAATTTGGTTTCGACATCTCACTCACTCATGGTTTAAATCGAAGTCTGAGACCACAGAAATCATGCAAGGCTGGGAAATCTTGTACCTGACCTCAGGTTCTAAATAAGGAAACCCTCGTTAAACAACAAGGATGTTATCTGTTGGTTAACAGAAGGAGGGAAGCTCATTGTCGGCCAATAATCTACCCTTGTTTGGAGAAAGCCAACACCAAAGAATTTAAACAAGAATCTGCCTTTGCTAAAGTCAAACATCACCTCCTTTTTTTCCTGTGTTTTCCTTTGCATTCACTCCTAGGATGAAATTATCTGCAGAGAAAGCAACATACAGAAGACCTAGAAAATCACTCTGGACAAAGTGACTTCAATTCTGGTTTTGGTCTCTTGACAAGCAGAATGCGAGCTGAGCTTCTGGAAGAAAGGCCACTCCTTCATAGGTCTACTTCCAGGGTTCTGTACAGGAGCCAGTAAGTTCTGACCCACTTTCCAGGCACCGCTCTTTCACCTGCACCCTTATCCACATACAGCCTTCATCTTAACAAGCTCCGTTCTAACCAACCTTTTCCCTAAAGGGTTGTGTGGTCCTGCAGGGGCACCCAAGGGGGAGGCAGCCAGACAAGGCTAGTAGAGTGTTTTTCAAAACATAGTTCACAGATCACCTGCATCATAATCACTGGAGTGCTTATAAAAGTGCAGATTCCTGGGCATCACCTAGACCTACTGAATTAGAACTTTGGGAGTGGGGCTCAGGAAACTGCATTTTTAACATGCCTCCCCCAACACACCCGAGTCTTATGCACAGTGAAGTTTGAGAACCAATGGGATAAAAGCTCCCCAGGAGAGAGGCAGACAGTTGATTTAGAGAAGACCGCATAAATGCTTCGGAAAAGTCTGGAAATAGAAAATGGAGGAGAGGGGTGTAAGGGCATGCTCCAGGGTAGCGGCAGTCAAGACCTGTGCGCGGTGGGAACAGTTATTGAAGGTGGACATGAGGACAGGGCTCTGGAAAGGATCTGAGACGGGGCTTGAGCTGGGTGGCTGGTCAGTGGTGAGGTCGCATCCGCGGACTGGTCAGGACAGAGGGGAGGCGGAAGGCGGAGAGCAAAGTCTGGACGTAAGGAGGAGGAGCGAGGGTGGGAATAGGGGGATCTCGGGAGAGATCCGGGCTGGGACGTGAAAATTAGAAAAAGGGGGTCACAGGAGGCGGAGACCAAAGCAGTAATAGGAACCGGCGGAGACGGTAACCGAGACCTTTTCTCCGACCGAGTGCCTCCCCCAAAACTCCGGGCCTTGACAAGCCTGAGTGCGGGGCCAGGGTCGGGGAGGGGGAGTTTGGGAGAGACAAGCCCAGTCAGGGACATCCCTCAAGCCTGAGCTACGGGTCCCGGAGGTAGCTCGGGCCAGGCATGGGGCGCTGGAGGGTCCTGGGATCCCCCGGAGGGCCCCGCTCCAGCTCTGGCTCCCGGAGTCTCCTTCACTCACCATCGCAGCCGCCATCTTGGATCCACGTGTCGCCGTAATGACGTCAGCGGACGTGGTGTTTCCCTGGTTACGGAGTTTGACTCCGCTGGGTGCTGCCTGGCTTCAAACTCTCCTGTAGTCGTGGTCAGCGGAGGGGTAAGAAAACTTTGCTCCTGATCCGCAGCCTGGTCTGGGCAGTGAGGCTGCTGATTAGGTGACGAGCGGATGCTGTAACTATGGGAGCCATATTAACTCCTGGCAGAAACTGCTCCTCCTCCTCCCCCTCCTCCTCCCCCATTGTATTGTGGGTAAGCGGGTGCGTATACGCGTCTGTTCTCTGGACGCCATCTTTACTATTGGCAGGAAGACCGGTTGCCAGGGTTACCTGAGGTCTTGATTTGATGGGTGGGATTGGTACCAGGGCTCCAATAGTAGCCCAACTCCGGGAATAATTTGTAATTAAATGTATAATTATTTACTTGACTACTTTATATCCTCTCTAATAGACTGTAATCCCTAAGAGGGTAGGATCCTGTCTTTTATTTAACCTTACTTTACCTTATTTTCATTGGCAAAATAGGTAGGGGATTATAGTAAGTTGATGATGAGGATTCAATGACATAATGTTACATAGTATGTATTCAATAAATAATTGTCATTATACACTTATGTATACTTCTTCAGGTAGATGGTAAGTGCCTAATACAATACACTACTTATTAAAGGAATGAATGAAAAGCAGTGTCTTTAGTAGAGGAAGACATCTTTGAATGCAGACTTCACCATGGTCTGGTTAGCTAAGAGTGTGACCGAGGTAAGTCACTCAGTCTTCCTAAGCCTCGATTTCCGATATCTGGAAAGGGGACTCAAAGAGTCACGGTGTTAAAATTGGGAGAGGCCAGAAAGTTCACTTATTCCATGTATCACTGTAAAGTGGATACAGTACCAGTGGTACCAGTGACTGTTTCAAAAAGTTGTTAAAATAATAATAATGATTAAAAATAATCAGCACTTACTGAGCATTTGCTGCGTGCTGCAGCCCTTAGCATTATGCTAAAACCATTCATAAGACTCTCTTATCTAATCCTACCTCTTGGCAGGGGGCAATTGACTCTGATCCCCACCTATGAGTGCCACTGTAGTGGACTGTCACAAACAGGGCTGCCAACAAGTCCTCCTGTCTTCGCATGAGCATGCTGTTTCTCCCATCAGGAGGTAGACTCTATTTCTCTTGCCTTTGAATCTGGCTGGTCATGTCACTTGCTTTGACCAAAGCATGTGGTATAAATGACTCTGCTAGTTCTGGTTTAAGCCTTAAGAGGCTTGGCGGCTTCGGCTTCTACTGTCTTCCACTGTGTCTCCTACTGGAGAGCCACATGGAGAGGGAGGGAGGCCCAACCAATTTGAATCCTCAAAATATTCTAGAAACTTCAGCTGAGCACTACACATGTGAATGAAGTCATCTTGGACATTTCACCCCCAGCGGAACCGCCAGCTGAATGCAGCCACATGCGTACCCTCGTCAACACCATGTGCAACAGAAAAACTGCCCAGCTGAGCCCAGTTGTTTAAGATTTTGGAGTGGTTTCTCATGCTTCCAAAGATAATTGAAACACACATCCATTAATTCTTGTGACTCACACAACCATCCTAAAGAATAGCAGAATTGATATCATCCCCAAGGGTGAGGAAAGACTTAGAGACTAGGAGGGATTTTCCTGGAGTCTCAAAGCTGGTAAACCATAGATTCCAAACTTGCAACCAGTTCTCCTGGTGCTTGAATCCTGGGTGTTTCCCACCATTTCTGGATGCCTAAAGAGGGATGACTGATAAGGAGCAAAGCTCCATGAATGGCATATTATTCCTCAGTATTTCCATTTTCTCCCCTCCTCGTACTTTCCATTTCCCCAGAGGCCTTTCATATCTCAATCTCTTTTGGTAACATACACCAGAATCCTAAAGCTAGACTGCCAGGGTTCAGATCTCATCTCTACCACCCACTAGCTCCATGACGTGGACAAGTTGCTTCTTGAAAACGTTTTCTTTTCATTGTGGTAAAATGTACGCATAAAATTTAGCAGGGCATATACTTCTAGGTACCTTCAAAAATGCTTCTCCAAGGAGAATGGGAAGGTAGAATTGGGATTAGGGGAAGCAAATCTGATCCTTAGGTGTCTCCAAGGAGAAGGGTAGGATATACTAATCTGTGTTCTTTTCACACTGGTTTCATTTATTTATTGCTAAATAACCCAGCACCCTAAAACTCAGTGGCTCAAAACAACAATATTTTATTATTTCTCTTGACTCTGTGGGTTGGCAGTCTGGGCCATTCCGATTGTCTCACCTGAGATCTCTCATGCACTTTCAGCAGACGGCTCAGCTGGGGCTGTAGGGTGCATGGTGGCCTCTTATGTCTGGGTGTTTGGTGCTGGCTGTCAGCAAGGCCTCTCTCTCCATGTGGGCACTCATCCCCAAGGAGAGTAGCGAAGGATCCTTCACATTATGGTCTCAGGTCCATGGTGGTGAGTGAAAGCTGCAAGGCCTCCTAAGGCCTAAGTTTCAGAACTCCCACAGCATCAATTCTGCCACACTCTGTTGGTCAAAACCAGTCACAAGGTCAGTCCAGAGTCAGAGTGGGAGGGGACCACACAGGGCATGAATTCAGGGGGGCATGATTTGTTGAGGGTCATTTTGTAACAGTCCACTGTGCCATCCTTGCTTCACACCCCCACCCCCTGTCCATGAGGCCTCTGTGGCAGCCTTCTATGTGGCTTCTTCCTGCTTGCTGCTCCTGTCACCTCTAATCTTGATTCTCCATTTAATAGCCACTGTGGTAACATAAAATCTCAAGTCTTCACCATGGCCTGCAAGGCCCTGCATGATCAGGCTTGTCTCCTACAACTCCTTCCCTCACCCACAGGGTTCCAGCCACACAGATATTCCTGGAACTGGCCCTGCTCATCTGCACCTCAGGACCTTTGCACTTGCAGTTCCTTCTGTCTGGAAAACTCTTCTCTCAACATTTTGTGTGGTTAGCTCCTTCTCATGTTTGGGTCTCAGCTCCACTGTCACCTCCTTAGAGAGGTATTCCCTGGCCACATACAGATATAGATACAATTTGGTCATTTGTTATTCTCTATCTCCCATGAAAACTTGGACTGGATTTATGTTGTTACCAACTGTATCCCTATTAAGTATGTGTTCAAAAAAAATTTTTTTTTGAATGTTTGCATTATGAATTACCTCAAGCCTCATCCTATCAGTTAGGAAAAGATCCAGCTGTAAGGAAGAACCCCCCCAACACACACACACTAAAATAATAGTGGCTTAACAAGTCAGAAGCTTACTTTCCTCTGTCTTAGCTTGGCTTCCCCCAGAAGCCAACTCTGAGACAAGGATTCAAGCCAGAGTAGTTTATTTGGGAGGTGAAGGGACACCAGAAGGCAAAGGCATATGCAGGAGCTGGCTTATACCGCTTGCAGGAGCCAATAGTTAAATTTTGGGAAATTTTGTGAGTCAACTGTTGGCCATAGGCATTATTGAAAATTAAGTTATGTAAATTTTAAATTAAATAAATGATATTAAAACCAAAAGTATGAAATATGCAAAACTCTACTTCCTAATCATTTTACTATATTTTATCTATGCTCAATCTATGCTCTTGAGGTTATTCATACCTATTTTATCTGTACAATAGAAATACTATGAAAAGGGGCACTACTGCATGTCTTTCCCCAGTTCTGAGTTCAGTAGCACTGAATTGTTAGCAGAGCCAACTTATCCATTAATGCAGTAGGCACAGTACACATGTCATTGACTAATGAGTGAAGTTCCAATGTACATCTTCATTATTTCATTTCCATTTTATTTATGAATATAAATGAAACTATCAGCTCACAGTTATGTCAGAGCTATACTTGGGGAAGGTATGTTGTCAAGCAACTTACCTCTGTGAGTAACTGAAGCGTAATCGCATGGGGAAACTCTGGGAAACAACCCAAAACACACACCTCACAGTTACCGCACCAGGGGAGCAGGGAACTGGGGTATTTATACACCAACTCCCAAAAGCCATTAGTTGAGGATTTATCCCAGAGTGGGTGAATTCCTCAGCACTTTTGGCCTTCTGGGAACACTGGCAGCTGAGCTTTCTGCAGCTTAGGAAAAGAGCCCTCAGGCATACAGTGGTGCAGGTAATGGTAGCTAGGATCCATTCGAGGGATCCTGACAGTGCATGCCACACCCTCTGAGGTAAAAGTTGGAGGACCTTCTAGTTGCTATGGTGGTGTACTTAAAATATTTTAAGAGATCTAGGCCCTATCCAGCTTTGCCATCCTTTGAGTTAATTCATGTTCCTCGGGGTCCAAGGTGGTAGCTAGAGCTCCAGCCTTCACATGCATATTCTAGGCAGCAAGATAGAGGAAGAGATGAAAAATAAGGGGCAAAGAGTCCACATCAGTTGTCTTTTAAGAAAGGATACTGAAAGATGCTATAGCACACTTCCACTTACAACCCATTGACCAGAACTTAATCACCTGGCCACACTTAGCTGCAAGAGGGAGTGGGAAGTGCAGCCTTCATTCTGGGTAGTCATGTGCCCCCTGATAAAAATGCTGTTTCCCTGGAAGAAGGGGGAACATGGATATGGCGACAACTAGCAGTCATTGCCAACTTCCAAAAGGAATGCAAATTGATATAGCCTTATGTCAGAATATACGGTGATGAGGACAGACACATGACAAAACTGAGGGCCCAGGTCAGGGAATAAGGAGGCAGTTTTATTTCAACTCACAGGGGGAAAATGAAACTAGTACTTTCCCTGTGTTTAAACTCAAAGCCACAGCTAGATACTAGATTACAGCAAGTCATTGACATCTTAGAATGGGGCACCTTATCTATGCCTTCCTTTGATGCCTTCCAGGGGAGGAGTGCATGCAGTTTTCCCAAAGAATTGGTGGCATTAAATTTATCTCCATGTCTTTGTTTGCTTTTTTATTGAACAGACTTTATTTTTTAGAGTAGTTTTAGGTTTACAGAAAAATGAATAGAAAGCACAAAATTCCCATATGCCCTCTCATCCAGCCCCCAGTTTCCTCTATTATTCACATGTTGCCTTAGTGTGCTACATATGTTACAGTTGATGAGCCTGTTATTATTATTAACCTAGGTCCATAGTTTACATTAGGGTTCACTCTTTCTGTTGTACATTGAGTTTTGACAGATGTATCTATCATTAAGAGTATCATACAGAATAGCTTCACTACCCTAAAAATCCCCTATGTTCCATTCTATTCATCCCTCCCTCTCTGCCAAACCCCTGGCAACAATTGATCTTATTATCTCTGCAACTTTGCCTTTTCCAAAATGTCCTAGAGTTGGAATCTGATAGTATGGAGCCTTTTCAGATTGGTTTCTTTTACTCAGCTGTGTGCATGTAAGTTTCTTCCGTGCCTTGATAGCTCATTTCTTTTGATCACTGAACAGTATTCCATTATGTGGATATACCACAGTTTGTTTATCCACTCACCTGTTGAAGGGTATCTTGGTTGCTTCCAAATTTTGACAATTATAAATAAAGCTACTACAAACATTAGTGTGTAGGTTTTTATGTGAACAGAAGTTTTCAAATTGTTTCAGTAAATATCAAGGAGTGCAATTACTGGATTGTATGGTAAGAACATGTTTAGTTTTTTTTTTAAGATTTATTTATCTGACAGAGCACAAACGGGGGAGCGGCAGGCAGAGGGAGAGGGAGAAGTAGGCTCCCCGCTGAGCAAGGAGCCTGACGCGGGGCTCGATCCCAGGATCCCGGGATCATGACCTGAGCCAAAAGCAGACCTTAACCGACTGAGCCACCCAGGTGCCCCAGGAATATGTTTAGTTTTGTAAGAAACTGCCAAATGTCTTCCAAAGTGGCTGCACTATTTTGCATTCCCGCCAGCAATGAATGAGAGTTCCTGTTGCTCCCTGTCCTTGCCAGCCTTTGGTGTTGTCAGTGTTTGGATTTTGGTCATTCTAAGTAGTGTGCAGTGGTATTGTTTTAATTTGTATTTCTCTAATGACATAAGATGTTGAGCATCTTTTCTTTTTTTTTTTAAAGATTTTATTTTTATTTATTTGGCAGAGAGAGAGAGACAGCAAGAGCAGGAACACAAGCAGGGGGCATGGGAGAGGGAGAAGCAAGCTTCCCGTGGAGCAGGGAGCCCAATGCGGGGCTCGATCCCAGGACCCTGGGATCATGACCTGAGCAGAAGGCAGATGCTTACCGACTGAGCCACCCAGGCGCCCCTTGAGCATCTTTTCATATGCTTATTTGCCTTCTGCATATCTTCTTTCATGAGGTGTCTGTTCAGGTCTTTGACCATTTCTTTATTGGGTTGCTTGTTTTCTGATTGTTGGCTTTAGGGTTCTTTGTATATTTTGGATATCAGCCTTTTATTAGATATGTGCTTTGCAAATATTTTCTCCCGGATTGGAGCTTATCTTTTCATTTTCTTTTTTTTTTTTTAAGATTTTATTTATTTATTTGAGAGCAAGAGAGAGAGCACAAGCAGGGGGAGTGGCAGGTAGAGGCAGAGAGAGAAGCAGGCTCCCCGCAGAGCAAGGAGCCCGATTTGGGGCTCGATCCCAGGACCCTGGGATCATGACCTGAGCTGAAGGCAGACACTTAACCGACTGAGCCACCCTCATTTTCTTAACAGTGTCTTTCTCAGAGTAGAGTTTTTAATTTTAATGGAGTCTAATTTATCAATATTTTCTTTCATGGCTTGTGCTTTGGTGTTGATCTGTCCCCATGTTTTAATCTGTCTTTCCTGTGACCAGAGGCATAAATCATAGTATAGGCAGTGTAAACCAAAAGAGCAGGAGGATGCGAATTGACCCCTGGTCTTGTCTATGTAGCAATAGGCTCCCTCTTATGGATTACTGAACAGCAATACAATGTACCACAAATTATGAGTGCAGATTCCTACTAAAGGAGCCTGAGCTCTGCTTTCAGATACCCAAAGACATATCCCAAAGGAGAAAGCAGGAGAGAAATTCAGTTACCAACTAGGTAAGTTGAAACACTGCTACCTTCATTTTCCACAGCTTATTCCCAGTTCCTCTGTGCTACTCAGGGGTGCAGAATCAATTCAACATAGGGTTCCAGGGGCCCCTGGCAGGTGCTGTGATGTAAACCCTTCAGGAGATGCAGTAATATAGAAAGGTGTCAGTGGTTCCCCATCTCCCTCTCCACCTCTTCCCAGCATTCCCCTTACAACGAAAGCTAATGCTTTCAATTGAAACAACATGCAGGAAGGGCCCACTGCCTCCTTGTCTTCTCTGCTTCCATCCCACATCTCCCTCCCCTCCACTGAGAGTTTCCCATGCAGGCTACCAGATACCTCTCAGCAACCACATCTCCAGACCCTGGTATTCCTACAATGGTGGGTACCATCTTAACAACCATGATGGCTGCTTGGCCATGGGAAATGCCCAGGCTGTGGACAGCCCTGCAGCCCTAGGGGAGACCCAGACTAATCAGCTCGTGTATCAGTGCAGGTTGTCGGGAAAGTCAGGGCCCCAGTCATGAAAAATCATTCTTATCATCTTGGCAAACTCAGCTCTTTGGAGATAAAAACCCATCCAGCGTCCCTGTGCCAGTGTGATAGGCAGAATAACGTCCCTCCTCCACACCCAAGATGTCTGTCCTAATCCCTGGAACCTGTGAATGTGTTGTCTTACGTAGCAAAAAGGGCTTTGCAGATGTGATTAAGGATCTTGAAATGGAAAAGTTAGTCTGGATTATCCAGATGGGCCCAGTGTACCAACAGTGTCCCTACAAGAGAAAGAGGGAGGCAGGGGACAGAGAAGGAACTGTGATGACAAGCAGATTGGAGTGATGAGTGTAAGAGAAGCATGAGTCGGGGACGTGTCAGCCTCTAGAAGTCGGAAAAGCCAAGGAAATGAATTCTCCCCTAGAGGCTCCAAAATGCACACAACCCTGCCAAACCCATTTCAGACATCTGACCTCTGGAACTGTAAGATAATGAATTTGTGTTTTAAGCCACCAAGTTTGTGGTCATTTGTTACAAAAGCCATAGGAAACTAACACAGCCAGTGACTATTTGGGGGCAGTTAGAAACCCTGGGAGCCTTGGACCCCACTTGTCTTCATGCTCCTGGTCTTTGGAAGGGTCCTTCCCCCCTTTCTGACTCGGCATCCAGCAAAAGGGCAAATAGATGATATTCAGGAACTGGCAGGACAGGACAAGCTGATCTGTCAGTAAAGCCTTTAGCATTTGTATCTTTTATTTAAATATTTATTGCATTATTTTTAAAGTTTCCCATCCAAACCACAGCTGCAACTGGAATCCAGCTGTCCCAGGCAATAGAAATATCAACTTGGGGTCTCCTGAGGCGGGCGGATTGTAGATTGCTGGAGTCAAAAAGAGATTGTTCCGGTTCAGCGCCTTGACAGATGAGGAACTGTGGCTGGAACTGGGGGTGGGTGGTGCCTGGGACTGGGAAGGGTGAGCTTGCACCAGGCAGATGGCGCTGGAGGCACCTCTTAGACCCCGCCCGGGTGTGCCCATCACGGCTGCTGTTGGTACTGGCTCTCAGTGGCCGTGTAGAAGTCATCCAGCACACTCTGGATATATTCGAAGGTGGGCCGCTCCTCAGGGCGGTTCTTCCAGCAGCGTGTCATCATTTTGTGGAGCTCCTCGGGGCAGTGCTCTGGTCGAGGCATGCGGTATCCATGCTCCAGTGCCCGGATCACCTCAGGGTTTGTCATCCCTGAGAAGGAGCCATGGAATTAAAGAGGGAGGGACTGGGACAGGGAAACCCGGAGTGACAGAGACTGTTGCCTCCCCAGCAGCTATCACTTCCCACCTCCCCTGGGAGCTGAGCCCCCCCCCCACTATGAAAGCCAGGTACCCCTTCCCCAGCCTCCCCTACAGCTAGGGCAGGACCATGGCACCCAATTTTGGCCAATGGCAGCTGAGGAGCATTGTCCCGGGAGACTGCCAGGAAAGGTGTTCCTCCCATGGAAGATACACCCTTCCTCTTTCCAACGACACTGAGAAACGACCTGATCCTTGGAGCTGAAGCACCACACGGGGAAGACAATCACAGAGAAGCGAACCCACAGACCTGAGTGCTGTTGAGCACCTGAACTAGCCAGTCACCAATGCCAGACTCCTTATCATGGAGGTTAATAACTTGCCTATTGTTTCTGCCCTTCTTAGTTATTTTCTTAGAGCCTAATGCATCCTAATGGATTTGGTTCCATAACCCAACACCTGGCTTTTACTGGTGTACTCTCAAGACAAAACAGGCAGTCTGTCTCAGTGTCACTCTGTGAATGGGACTATTTCCTTGTTCAATTGAAGTTTATGTGAAATATCCTTAAGAACAATCTTCTACATGTCTACAATGCCCAATTTTACATTATCAGTCTAGAGCTCCAAACTCATATATCCGAGTGCTTCCTTCAACATCTTTACTTGGATGTTACAAGTCACCTCAATGTAAAAGGGCTAAACCAGAACTCTTGAATTTCTAACCCCAGACTATCACCCATTTGGCTGCTCAATTAACCAAGAGGATCAACCTTGATTCTTCTCTCTCTCACCTTCCATATCAGCAAGTCACATTTTTCCTTCTTTTGAAAGATATTATCAACCCATCGATTTACCTCTGTCTCCACCACCTCTCCCTATCCCACTGCTGTGGCTGCTACCTTCTCCCCAGCCCCCAATCCCCTCTCCATGCTGAACCAAAGCATCACTTAAAGATGGAAATCAGATGATGCCACTTCCCCGACTCAAACCCTCCAATGGCTTCCATACACTTACACTAACATCCACAGTCCACAGTTTTCAGCATGGCCATGGGCTCTCCCTGATCTGGCCCCTGCCGACCTCATCATTCACCATCTGCTCTCATTCCTTGTCTCCAGCTACCAGGCTTCCTTGTTCTTTCTTCAGACACACCTCAGAGCCTAAGAGCTAGCAGTGTCTTCTACCTGGAATCTTTCCCCTAGTTCCTCACTGAGCTGTCTTTCAACTCAAATAGGACCTGCTCTGACAGGAGCTGGGGAGCACCACAGGTGCCCCATGTCACTCCCTCTCACTCACCCTGCTTCGTTCTCTGCTCAGAAGTAACCTCCAGCTGAGAGTGTGTGTCTGTTGTGTGTGTGTGTCCCTCCAGGCTAGAATGTGCTCGACTCATCATATCCCCAGTGCCTAACACACAGGAGGGATTCGATCAAAACCAATGAATGAACCAACCGTCTATACCTCTTACTTCTAATCTTCACAACCACGTCTGCAAGGTAGACACCATTACCTATATTTGTTTAAAGGTGAAGACACTAGGGTAGGAGAAGTGAAGTGAATTTCTCCAAGTGTAATTGCTGATGGGGTGAGATTCAAATTCAGGATGGTTTATATACAAAGTCAGGGACTCTTTATATCTGCCTTTCTCCTTCTCCCCAGTGTTCTGGCTACAGAACAGGAGACATCTCAACCAGAAAGGAACAGAGAATAACATTATTTATGGACTCACAGGCAATCTACATGTTGGGTATGTCTTTGTGACTACCTGGTCTACTCAGCGTAGGGTGCTGCCCATAGGCATGGGGATAAATTAATCCATTCAACGAACCGTTATTAAGAACCCACCATGTACCAAGAACAGAGGTGGGCAGTACACATACACTAGTGAGAAATACAGACATGATTTCTGACCTCACGGAGCTCAGTGTCTGGTGGGGGAAAATATTAAACAAATCTGTAGTTGTCAATTGCAACGAATACTATGAATGAGACAATATGGGGTATTACGAATGAGAAGTAGCGGTCATGTAAGATACTTTAGATGACTGGATGGTGGGGTACAGAATGAGATGAAGCTGGAGAAGTAGGCAGGGGCTGGATCATGTAGGACCTACAGGCCATAATTAGAAGTTTGAGATTTTGTCCCAATTACGATGAGAGACCATTAAAGAGTTAGAGGTGGAGAAGGGACAAGATCTTTTTCACAATTCTACAAGGATCCCTCTGGCCTCAGTGGAGAATGGCCTGTCGGGGAGAGGGACAAATGCAGGGAGACTGCGTAGGAGGCCACTGTACCATCAAGGTGGGAGATGATGTTGGCCTGAATGTGGGTGGAGACAGTGGAGTTAGACATGAGCATGTATTTAGGAAGCAAGTGGCCAAAACCTTGGGACTGCTTTGGATGTAGTAAGGGGTGAGAGAAAAGGAAGGGCCAAAGATGTCCTCAGATTTTCAGCTTAAGAAACTGGGTAGATGGTGGTACCTTTAACTGAGATGGGGCAGATGAGGGGAGGTTGGGGGCAAGGATCAAGAACTCCATCTGAATGAATACACTGACAAGAGAAGAGACCCAGGCTGGGCCATGGAAGCAGCTGCAAGCTGATGCCCCCTTCGCTACCTGGGTAAGGGATCCGGCCATAGGTGACGATCTCCATCAGCAGAATACCAAAGGACCAGACGTCTGACTTGATGGTGAAAGAGCCAAAGTTGATGGCTTCAGGGGCTGTCCACTTGATGGGGAACTTGGCCCCTGTGGGATTGGACAGAGCAGAGTCAGAGACAATCTGGGAGCAGTCAGGGCTGGGTGTCTGCTAGGGTGAGGAGCAGGACAGGGGCAAGGCTGCTAACATCTGCCCCTACGTCCAGCCTCCACGGAAGCAAGGGCTATCCATCCTGAGGACAGATGTCTAGAGTGGAGGGGAAGGGGCAGAGGGGTTTGGGGCGTGCCAGGGGAGCTGGCACTCTGGACTATCTCATTGATTCAGCCAATATCCCAGTGAACTACAGCTCCCAAAGAGTAGAGTCCTTGAGGACTTCTATAAATGGAATCATACAATATGCAGTCTTTGTCACTTAACATGATGTTCTGAAAGTTTATCCACGGTAAGCATCTAGTCCTTCCGTCCTTTATTGTGGCCGAATAATGTGGTCTTGTTGCTTCTACTTTTTGGCTGTCACAAATTATGTTGCTCTTCATACACAAGTTTGCCTGTTTCTGAATTTTATGTAAATGGTGCCATCCAGCTCTCCTTTTTTTTTGGGTCTGATTTCTTTCATTTCAATATTATGTCTTTGAGAGCCAACCATTTGGTTGGGTGGAGCACTGGTTTGTAATTTTTCATTGCTGCCTAATATTATATTACATGAATGTACCACAATTTATATATTGGTTCCACTACTCATGGATATTTGGATTCTTCCCAGTTTTTTCTATTACGCATAAAGTTGCTCTCACCCTTAATTTCCACATGCATTTGGCTAGCTCAGCCTAAAATTGATCAGAGTCACTTGGTGAGAGTCTACAGACCAGGATACTCTGTCCAGAAGGACTCCAGCAAGCTTACTAACACATAGCTAATACAGAGACAGACACATGTCTTGACTCTCAATGCTCACAACCCATCCAGGGGCCCCATGGGTCCCTTGGCAGCGCTCCCTACCTTCCCGAGCCATGTATGCGTTGTCCTCGATGACACGTGCCAGGCCAAAGTCGGCGATCTTACACACCAGGGACGCAGAGACCAGGATGTTGGCGGCTCTGAGGTCTCGGTGAATGTAGTTCCTCTGCTCGATGAAGGCCATGCCTTCTGCAATCTCCACCCAAAACAGAGACATCCTCATCTTCACATCTGGCCCAGCCCAAGGCGGGTCCCACCCAAAAACACAAGAGGAGTGTCTAAGTTTGAGAAAATAGGAAAATGTGTGTGCCAGCTTCCCCTTTCTTGTGGAAGGGTCCTGAGCGCAGGTTGGCATTCCTCTATCTCCCCATCTAGGTTGGGGGGGAATCTGAGGGCTGGGTCACTTTAGAAGCTTCTTTGGGATTCCAAGACTTCCAGAGACTACTTTGAGGAAAGAGCAATGGCAATGGCGTTATTTCCTCAGGACCTACAGACACACACACCAGAATACTATGAGGTCCTCTCATCCCCAGCCTTCTTTCTGGAAGACAAGCTAGGCTAATGTCATATTCTGCTGTATCTCTTGTACTTTCTTCATCCTCAAGCCTGGGTAGGGAAAATTCATGTATTCATTCGACAAGTATCTACTGAGTGTCTCACGGGTGCCAGGCATATTATTTGAACAGCTGGTGAGCCAGGCAAGACCCCTGCAGGTAGTAGTAAGTGCCGTAAAGGATAAAGCAGGATAGCAGGACATGAAGTGTAGACTGCGGTTTTGGATTGAGTAGTCAGAGAAGGCTGCTTTGAAGAGGTGAAATTTTAGCAAAGATCTGAGTAGTGACAATAAGTGTGTCAAATAAGAGTATTCCTGGCAGTAAGAACATCACGTGCAAAGGCCCAGAAGTAGGAATGAATTTGGTGTTCATGGAACAGGTGGCTGAGCAGAAGTTGCCACAGAGAGATGGGGGCGGGGTGGGGGGAGTTGAGGTTGAGAGGGAGGCTGCTGACTGTGAAGAACCTTCTAGGTTTGGAGGGGAGGTTGGATTGTACACTGAGCGCAATGGGAAGATTGTAGAAGTCCTCTAGCAGGAGTGTGACATGGTCTGATGTATATTTTAATGCCATCATGCCTGCTGAATGAATAATAGACTGTATGGAGAATTCTCATTCACAATGGGTCCCTGGAAGCCTCTGATGGAAAGATGTGGGATCTTTCCTTAGGGACTTTTTTTTTTTTTTTAAAGATTTTATTTATTTGCCAGAGAGAGAGCATGCGCACAAGTAGGCAGAGCAGTAGACAGAGGGAGAAGGAGAAGCAGGTTCCCCGCTGAGCAGAGAGCCTGATGCAGGGCTCGATCCCCGGACCCTGGGATCATGACCTGAGCCTAAGGCAGATGCCCAACCGACTGAGCCACCCAGGTGCCCCCTTAGGGACCATTTTCAAGGGCTTGTGCATTAACCCTCCTAAAGAGGTTTATAATTAACACCCAGACACCTAGAAAATAGCGTTTATGGCTTACAAACTGGCCTTTGAGCTCCTCGAGCCAAGTGTTATTACAATCTCGGTTTTACAGAGCAGGGGACACTTTTTCCATATCATCCCATCAGGAAAATTCTCAATGTCAGACTCAAACCAGTCTGCAGATTTCCAATCCATGTGCCCCATGTTGCCTCTAATTAAAGCAGAACTCCAGTGCTCTGGAGGACTGCAGCTGGGTGCAATCTGGTAAGATTTGTGGGGTGGGGTCGGGGAGCCTGGCAAGACAGACCAGACCAAGACACAAGCCTGCTCAAGGTCAGAGGCAAGGGGTGGCGCACTTGCGGGAAGTGGTCAGCAGGGGGAACCTGGTGGCTACCAGAACCGAGGTGTGAGGCTTCAGACTTTGTAACCAAAACTTGAGACTGCTTTTGCTTGGAGTCACAAGCCTGGGGAGAGATGAGACAAGGTCTTGTGGGGGGCAGAGGGGTGGGGAGGGGAAGGGATTTATCAGGAGTCCTCAGACAACAGAACAGTTAACAAGGACTATTATGCTAATGGCAGGCACTGTAGCTTCCTCATTTACTATGAGAGGATACTTGAGCTTAAACAGCATTTGCTCTGTGCTTTGGGGAGGTGCGCCTGCTATCAGCCCTATGTCATGGGCAAGAAAGCTGAATTCTGGAGAAATAAGTAACTGGTCCAAGTGGAGACCAGTAGTGGAACTCCAGCATCCCTGCTCAGGGTCTGGGCACTGATCCATCACTCTACCTGGACTTTTGGCCTTGGATTTGGCACTAATGAGGCTAGTTACCATTTTTTTCAGTACCCACAGGCAGACATTCATGTTATTGATTTTCGCATGCACTCAGGGGGGCAGGTGGGATTAACCCAATTTAGGAGACTGTAGAGGATACTGCCTAAGTAACTCCGCAATTACTCTGGAGTTGGACCAGCTCAGCCTGAGCCCCACAGCTCTGGGACCTCAAGCAAGCTACTTCCCTTCTCTTGCCTTACTTTTCTTCTCCGTAGAAGGGAGGACATCAACAGAACCTGCTTCTGAGGGGTCATGTGAGGATGAATCCTCTAAGTCTACATCAAAGGTGTAGAACAGTGGCACATAAGTATTCACTTCAGTTGTGGCTCTTCATGCTCCCTGGTGAGGAAAGTGACATTCAGAGAGGTTAAGCATCTGGCTCAAAGCGACACAGGCAGAGCTGGGTTCAAAACCAAAACTCTATGTGACTCCTAAGCCCAGATGCTTACATAGTGTTGTTTCTCAAGGATTGAATGGATGAATAATGGAGAGGTTCACTGGGCTCAGGGTTGGTCTAAGAGCTAGGGGTTGATGAAGTGGTGACATTTCATGACCACCAAGCAGGCTGCCCTGATGTTGGGCATTAAAACTTGGGTTTGAAAAAAACAAAAACAAAAACTTGGGTTTCCTTCTGAGAGTATCAGGGAACCACAAAATCAGAGCTGGAAGGGCCTAATCTGGGCTCTTCCAACTGAATCCCACTGATTCCTCGGGGTTGCCGGTGGGGGGGGTGGGGGACAAAGCAAAGGGCACCCTCTTCAATCTGAGCAGCTCTGTTTTGACCTATTTTAAAACGTTCAGCTGCTGTCTAAGATTTCATTTGACCAACAGATTTATGGCTTTATAAAAGGCTTTTGAACTTGAGAAGCACAGATGTGGTCTAATTCCCTCATTTGACAAATGAAGACACCAAGGCCTGTAGTAGGTCTGAGGCCCATACGGCCAGTGGGTGAGACATGTTCTACTGCACCGTCTGCCTTTCTGGGACTGGAGGTGAAGACCTGGTCCCAGGTTGCCTCCTTCCTCTCCCTGGGCCCTCTGCTCCTGGTTTCTGTTCTCCCATCTGTGAAGCAGGGAGAGTGGCGTTTGCCCAGGCTGACTCTCCCCCAACAAGAGTTCTGCCAGTTTGATGGTTATAATTTAGTTATAGGCCAGACTGTTGTTTCCCTAGGGACAGGGACCACTAAAGTGAAAATGCCAGGCCTTGATTTCCATATGGCTCCGGCATTCCAGACTCCAAAATTTAAAGCCTTTATATATATCTATATATATCTATATATATCTGTATATATCTATATCTGGACATTCCTCTCCTGGGATTTGCATACCCCCATGAGTTCTGCCTTAGGGATCTCCAGAAGGCTCTAGGCAGGTCTCCCTTAACACCCTCCAGGCTGCAAACCACACCCCCTTCATCTTTGCCAGCCCCAGGTACGGGCTGACCAGGCCCAGCTCTTTTGCTTTTTCCCATGGGCTTTGGCACAGGCTGTTTCTTCCATCTGGAGTACCCTCCTCTCTCCAATGCAGCTGCCTAACTTCCACTCATCCTTCAGGGTTCAGCCCAGAAGCCACTTCCTCTGGGAAGCCTTCCTGGGTTGCTCCTGGACCAGGCTAATTGTTCCAGCCACGACCTCCCACAGCATCCCTTTCCTCCCCCGTTTTCCAACAGAGAGGAGAGAATGGGAGAGGACAAAAGCGAAAAGCACTCAAGCGGGGAGTAAGAGGAACTGCAGAGAGTGAAGGGAAAATGAGAGAGAAAATGGGATTTTCAGAAGTGGTCCTTTGGTTTGTTTACATTATTTATTTTGCTGGATACTGCATCCTTCGGCGCTGATCCAGGACCACTTGGGTAACGCCTCTCTTAGACATCCAATTGTTTAATGTCTATAAATTCTGGGAGGACAGAAATACTCTCCATTTCATTCGCTGCTGTATCCTCCCACCTCAACACAGTAATTTAGGCAAACTACTTCATCTCACTGGGCCTCAGTTTCTTCATCTGCACTCAACTGCTTCGCAATGCCTTACTTTCCTATTCTGTAAAATGGGATGACTTGTCTGTGGCTGGACTGTTACATTGGTGGCCCCCAATGGACTGTGCCTCCTGGGACTCATGCTCTTATGCAGCCCCCTCCGACCCTGAGCCTGGGCTGGGCCGTGGGCCATGTTTTGGCCAATGAAAAGTAGCAAAGCATGATGGGAGCAGAGGATTCACAAGTGCTTGCACATTAGGGCTTGGTCCCTTGGAACACTCCCTCTTGGAACGTAGCCACCGTGCTGTAAAGAAGCCCTGATTGGACTGCTGAGTGACGAGGGGCCACAGGAGAAAGATCCCAGAGGCTGAGCCACCATGCCGGACATTCTAGCCCCAGGCAAGCTCTCAACAGAAAGCATCCATGTGACTGACCTCAGTCTAACCACCCAGCCAACCCCAGTCAACGCACAGCATCACAAGAAATAATAAAGTGTTGTTGTTTCAAGCTACTAAGCTTTGGAGGAGTCTTACATAAGATAATAAAGGGGCGCCTGGGTGGCTCAGTCGGTTAAGTGTCTGCCTTCGGCTCAGGTCTGATCCTGGGGTCCTGAGATTGAGTCCCTGGTTGGCTGGCTCCATGCTCAGTGGGGAGTTTGCTTCTCCCTCTCCCTCTGCCCCTTCCCCACCTCATGTGCTCTCTCTCGCATGCTCTCTCTCTCAAATAAATAAATAAAATCTTAAAAAAAATAGATAATAAAAATCCCACTCTCTAAGTTTGATGTGAGGACAAATGTGTTAATGCCTGCAAGACACATACAAAAAGTGTACAGTTGACTCTTTAGCAACGCGAGGGTTAGGACCCCTGCACAGTCAAAAACCCAAATACAACTTCTCTCTCCCCCAAAACTGAACTACTAATAGCCTACTGTTGACCCAAAGCTTCACCAGTACCGTAAACAATGGATTTATACGTGTTTCATATGTTATATGTATTATACCCTGTATTCTTACAATAGAGTCAGCTAGAGAAGAGAAAATGTTATTAAGGAAATCATAAGAAAGAGAAAATACATTTACATCACTGTACTCTATTTATAAAAAAAGAATCTGCTTCTAAATGGACCCAGCGCAGTCCAAACTCACATTGTTCGTGGGTCAACTGTATGTTCATACTGAGCACTCAGTGCCTGTCACCTGTTATTGCTGGTACTATTATAGCCCGAGCCCAATAAGCATGTGTTAAAGAAATCATTGAGTTCCTGCCCCCCCCCCCAACATCCCCCTTTGACTCTCACCTGGGCTGAGAAGTCAATGAGCTTGGGCAACGGCTGCTTGCTGCCCTCCGCACTTTTCAGGAAGTCCAGCAGGCTTCCTGTGGGGGGAGGGGAAGCAACACGTACTACTCAGTACTCACACTCCCTTGGTGTATGGTTAAAATTGCTCATAGTCATGGATTGAAATAGGGGCACCTGAGTGGCTCAGTTGGTTGAGCATCTGCCTTCCACTCAGGTCATGATCTCAGGGTCCTGGGATCAAGCCCTGCTTTGGGCTCCCTGCTCAGCGGGGAGCCTGGTGCTCCCTCTCCTTCTGCTTCCTCCCCCCTGTTCATGCTCTGTCTCTGTCTCTTTCTCTTAAATAAATAAATAAAATCTTTAAAAAATAAAAAAAGTAACAGATTTAAATAAGAATATTTATTTACCATGTCTAATATTTGGGAACTAGAATTTCAGTGTTTTAAAAATGACTTTGTGATTACTGGATGGGGACAATCACGATTTCTTTGACTGAGATAGCTTTCTGAGCCTGGTTAACTGGGGGGGGGGGGCGTGCTTTTCTGGTGCTGGCATAATTGTGTATTTAGAAAATGAAAAGCGTTTTGAGATTTCAAAATCACACCCAATGAGGTTGTGTGAGATGTTTCTGTTTATCGAAAAATGGGCAAGGATTGAAGATGGTGGTGAAGTGGTGGCCTTAAAAAAAAAAAAAAAATCCCTGGGAAATCTTGGATCATGGGCGGGCAGGGTGGGGGCAACCTGGAAGGAATGCTTTGCCAACTCTCTTTTCCACAGCATTGGTCCAGACCCGGAAGACTACAGGAGAGGCACGGAGCTGCCCCCAGCCTCGAAGGCTTATCCTAAACCCATAAGCCTTTCCTACCATCACCCAGTCCCCTCTCCTGTAGCTCCATGAGCTCCCCTTCTCCTGGCATCCCCTTAAATGATTTCACCCCATTAACCAGGAGAGCTGGGCCATGGCCTGTCAAGGCCCAAGTACTCAAGTTCAATAAGTACTTGTCAGAAGAGCTCCTGGCCGGACTGGAGGGCAAGAACCATGTCAGGATCACCTTTGAGTGTGCAATTGACCAGTATGAACCAACGCCTGCATCCCCAGTGCCCAGAGCGCAGCACCTTTGGCCATGAACTCCGTGATGATGTAGATGGGTTCCTCTGTGACCACTGCATACAGCTTCACCAGCTTGTCATGCTGCAGAGTCTTCATCAGGTTGGCCTCTGCCAGGAAGGCCTCCACAGACATGCTCCCTGGCTTCATCGTCTTCACAGCCACCTTGGTGTGCTTGTTGTAGGTGGCTGGAGCAGGAGAGGGAACAGGAAAGGTGGTCAGAACCCACTGCTCCTTCCCCCATGGCCCTGGGAGGCCCCGCTGCAGAACTGCTTCCTCCAGAACGCCTTCCCTGTTCATCTCAGTCCTCAGAGAGGGGAAGGGAGACGCAGGCTTTGGCCTAAGAAAGATGTGGGTTAGAAGGCTGGTTCACCACTTTTTAGCTGTGTACCCTTGGGCAAGTCACTTAACCTCTCTGAACTGTGGTCTTCTCATCTGCAAAGTGGAAATGATCAGCACTGCCTTTCAAGGGCTGTTGTAGGGATTCAAGAATAACCTCAGAACCTCACTCAGATTGTTCCTGGTGCACACACATACCCACCACCTTTGCTTTGTTACTTACTCATACACACACACCATCTTTGCTTAAAATGCTTTAATCGCAACACTGCTCTCAATTAAATGACCAGTCTCGTCATGGTCCACAAAACCCTGCAGGATTTGGCCTCGCCCACCTTGCCAGCTTCATCATCCACCAGACACCCCCTTGCCTTTTGTGCACCAATCAGCCTGCATATCAGTCAGTCTCAAGCACCCAGCTCCCCCTCCCACCACAGGGACTCAACCCACCCCACCCCTGCCTCATCTTGTTGATCTTGTAAATCTCATAATTACTGTGTTTCCATTTTTGCCTTGGCTGCCAGGAAGCTCAAATCTAGATTTGAGGTCTTCCTGCAGTGAGAGTCTAAGGCCTTATATAATATTTTTAGTTTTCCAACCTTATCACTCAGATCCACTTTACATTCTTCTCTATAATTTCTCTGCCACATTCTCTTATTCAATGCCTGGCACACAGCAGGGTGTCTGTAAATGTAGTTGAAATGTGTGGATTTTAAATTTATTTTTTCTGGCTGAATTGTTTGCATCTCTGTAGGTTGTCTTCGCTCCCACTTGGAACATGGTGGAGTGCACCAGGCATTGGGCCAGGCATTGCACCTACCCCGCACTCCGCAAAGCAGGCATTGCTGTTCTCAAGTTATTAGGGGCAGGACGGCAGGGGTGATGCACGCCTTTCTGGTGCCCCACAATGCCCTCGCGTGGCGCTGGGCACATGACGGGTGCTCAGAGCAGCTTGCTCATCAGTTGCCAACACTGAACGTACCTGAAAAATCTCCAAACTACATTTCCCCACTCTTAGTTTCCATCATCCTAAGACGCCTCTGATGATCTCAACCCCAAACTGGTGGACTGTCCCAGCTCCATACGAGGGAGGGGAGGGGGACCCCTCCTGCCCAGAGGGGATATTTGGACCCCAACAAACCTGGCCTCAAAGGCAAATCAGCGTTTGCATAGCAGGATAATGTGGTTGCTTTCAGAGGAATTGCTCCTTTACGGTTATTATTCATATCTCCTCTTCCCCCCTAGGTGGCATCCCCACTTTGCCTCCAGCCGTTCCTGGAAGCAATGACCTCCCTCATTCGGCCCTCCCTCCACCCTCTGGCCCTGGGTCCTTACCCATCCAGACTTCCCCAAACTGCCCGGCTCCAAGTTTCTTCTCCAGCTTGAGGGATTCCCGGGGTATCTCCCAAGCATCTTTCTCCCACGGCTTCTGGGGCTTGGAGGACATGCAGGGCACTGTCAGCTTCTGGCAGAGTCCATCACTCCCCTCTGGAACACAGCCCCTGGTCAGTTGAGGGCAGCCAGCCAGAGACTTCCCCTCGGAGGCCTCCCTGCCCGGTCCACTGCCTGTGGCCAATGTTCCAATGGGTTACCACTATCGGGGACACGAGGACAGAGCATGATGAGATGTCACCTTGACCCTCCTGTTCAACAGGACTAAGACTTCCAGAGACTCAAAGCAGCTATTTGGGGAAGGTCAGGAAGAGCTCAGCGGGCCTCAGAGGCTGCAGCGCACCCTTCACTAGGATTCCTGGGAGACGGGTCCACCCTGGTTGGGATGCAGCCCTGGGCAGGACTCACTCTTGTAGTGGGCCACCAGCTCCTGCAGGGTGCTGAAGGTGCTCCGTGGGGAGATGTAGAAGCCCCCACCGTCCAGGGTCCGGATCTTGTAATGTTTCACCGCATCCCTGTGCTGGGGGTCATAGTCTCGCACAGACAACGAGTAGCTTCCTGCACAGGCCAGAGAAAAACCCCTCAGGAGTGAGATCTCAGAGCCCGCCACCTCCTGTTAGCACCCTGACGCCCGTTCCTGGCACCTCCGTGGGGGCACCAGGGCAGCGGAGTGCAGGGGAAGAGTGGGCTGTGGGGTCAGGCTCTCTGGTTCTCGTCCAGTCTCCTCCATGTCCAGCTGTGAGACCCTGAACAAGTGACCATGTCACTGCTCTGTGCCTCAGCTTCCTCATCTGTAAAATGGGGTTGGTCATCATACCTCCATAGCTCATCACATTGCCTGATGATTAAAAGAAGTAATGCTGTAAAGCACTCAGGATGTGAACACTCAGCACATGTCAGCTCTCATCAGCATCTTCATTATCTCGATCTATCTATCATCTATCATCTATCACAAAAGCCAAGACACCACATCAGATTGGTAAATAGGTTACTCAGAAACAAACAAAAAGATCCACAACAACAAACGCAGTCTGACTCTTGAAATATAAACACTGAAATGTAAATGTCAACATTAGATGTCATGGTAGGCTGAACAACAGCCCCCTGAGATGTCCGTGTCCTAATCACTGGCACCTATGACTTTGTTAGTTTAAAGGGACTTGGGGGATGTGATCCCGGTAAGGATCTAGAGATGGGGAGATTGTTGTAGGTTGTCCAGGTGGTCCCGAGGGAATCACAGGGTCCTTATAAGAGGAGGTGGGAAGGTCAAAGTCAATAGTAGGATAGGTGAAGATGGAAACACAAGGTTGGAGGGATGTGAGAAAGGGGCCATGAGCCAAGGAATGCTGCTGGCGTCTGGAAGCTGACAAAGGCGAGGAATCAGATTATTTCCTGAAGCCTCTAGAAGGAACCAGCCCTTCGGACACCTTGACTTGAGCCTAGCGAGACCAATTTCAGACTTCTGACCTCCAGAATTGTAAGATAATAAATTTATCTTGTTCTAAGCCACGAAGTTTGTGGTCATTTGTGACAGCAGTAGTAGGAACCTAAGGAGCATGACATCACACAGACCAGAAACACACAAGTCTTTCAGTCCCTGACCATGCTTCTGCATTTGCAAGCTGTGCATCATTGGGCACGCTATTAGCCTCTCTGTCTCTCATCTGCTCTATGTGCACTGTGGGTACTATGTCATAGGATTTTGAGGAGTACAGCTTCCTCATCTGTATGTATCTTGATGATGTATCTCATCATCGAGATAATAAAGATGCTGATGAGAGCCGACATGTGCTGAGTGTTCACATCCTGAGTGCTTTACAGCATTAATTCTTTTAATTATCAGATATTGTTGCACGAATAACAATTGACCAGATATGCCAGCCACTGTTCTAAGAACTTCGTCCAAATAAACTGTGAGTGAATATGAATAATTGTCACAAAAATGGATTGTAATTATATGAATATAAGGCATTATGTTATTCATTATAGTGAATGAATAACCCCATGAGGTCAAGGTTTTAGCTCACATTTTAGAGGCAAGGAGATTGAGGTCCAGGCAGGTGAACTAACTCACTTGCAGTCATGCAGCTGGGAAGGGGCCGAGCCAGATTTCAAACCCAGGCAGCTGGCTCCGGGCCCCACTCTTTGCCACTCTGCCGGGCCAAGGTGAGGCTGGCTTGACTGATACTAGATAGGGGTGGGGTAGAATCTGAGAAGCAGCAGGATGGAATTCAGGGCACTCACGGTGCCAGTTTTATTAAACTGGCTAAACTGGCCCCTCGGGTCCTCTGTCTGGGGGGACCTGTGAGAGTGAACCAGGCTCACCTTCCTGCCCTTCAGGGCTGGGGTGGTTTCTTGTCTCCCCAGCCACTATCTTCAGGATGGACCAGCTCAATCAATCCCCCAGCTGTCCTGGGAGCAGCTGGAGAGAAGCTGGGGACTGTGTATAGCTTTGCCTTTTTTGTCCTATTTCCCTTGCCCTGAGGCTTGAAGGGGGCTGGTTGCGTGGGAGGAAATAAAGCCTAAATATGCACTGGCCTGAAACAGTGATGGCGAGTGGCATTATCCTACCATGTTCGGGCTTGACCAATTTGGATATCTAGGGGTAGAGAAGAAGGCCACGCAGATGCCTTTGATGGATGTCCCCCAAACTGCTCAGGATACTGCGAGGTCACACTTTATGCAATTTACTTGCTTAATCTGAGCCAAGCAGCTTTGAGACCAAACATATTAGTTAAGGTGCACCCCATGTGTGAAGTCTGAAATCACGAGACTCCTTCTTGACATCCATTCCTTTGGAAAAATTAGCCTCAATGGATGCTAGTTTATGTGATGTTTTTGGGTACTGTTCTTCCTTCCTGGGTGACAACCCAGCAGAAAGCCCCCGTCACAGCACAGGAATTTCAGGAAGTAGTTCGCCAACATGAAAACTTCCAAAAAACATCAAAAGAGCCAGTTTAAGCAGAGTCTCAGAGGAGGCTGGCCTGGGGCTCTTCCGGCGGCCTGGTCTACCCCTTCCTTATGGAAGGAGGGGGAATCAGGCTTCTGGACAAGATATACTGTGATGGGTATTTTAAGTAATATAAGCTAGTGAAGGTCAAGCTTCAACACAATATTGTTTTTCGGGGTCCACAACCACTTGGGCCTACGTCCAGGTACCCAACCAGGAACTACAGAGGCTGAGGACACATAAACCAGGCTCGAGCAAAGGGCAAGAGAAAAGTTGGCAGTCTGGTGGGCTGGGTGAGTGGCTCAGCCCTCCCGGGGCATTTGCAGAAGGAGAGTGGTGGCCAGTCATGCCTAAGGTACCCCTGCAGGATGGGGCAGGGTGGGCAAGGCTGGTGTCACCTTTGGTGGTCTCGCTGTCCCGGATCAGGAAGGAGCCCAGCACGTTGCCCGGGGCCAGGAGTTGGCGCTCTGCATCCTTCCGGCTGATGTCCTTGAAGAACCACCTGGTGGAGAGGGGCGGGAGCAGCGTGTGAACCTGGGGTAGGGGGTCCTGCCCCATTCACACCGGGCACCAAGAGACTGAGAGCCTGGCTTCCTGTAGCATCGATTTTCCCACAAGATTCTTTTGGGAAAAATAACCATTCTTTTGATACGGAAACAGACATTTTACCAGGAGTGAATTCAGTTTGCTGAGATGGAAACTTATGCAGTTTGGGGAGCTTTCTTTAAGAAAAATAATACCAAAAGAAAGATTTCCCCAAAAAAAAAACTGTAAAAAAAAAAAAAAGAAGAAGAAAAAACTTTTTTTAGAGAAAAAGAGTACAGCATTACAATACAAAATGCCCATGGGTCATTTCATTGCCACCCAATGTGAGGGATATGGTGATGGATAGAAAAACTGACTGGTAAGATACAGCAGTCTTAACCAACTGTGGTCAAAATCTTGCTTTTGCCAATTTCAGAGGTACACATGAGCATCCTCTCAGGGTCTCAGACGTCCATGTGAGTGGGGGCCTGAACTTTGTAAACTTTACAATGTATCCTCTTCTGTGTGTACAAAGTTGAATATAAAGTCAACACGAATTTTCAAGCTAAAATGTGAGATTTCAATAATTTTATACTTGGACCTTTTCATTTTTCTCCCTGAATGTTTGGGATATTGAGTGGAAAAGCCCAAGCTGCAGCAGCAGCCAAATCCATTCCTACCCTCAGCAGGGTGAGGAGTGGTTCATGTGCTGTAATGGAAAACGTCCCAGACCTAAGGTCAGCTGGCTTGCACCTGCCACAAATCTGCTATGTGACTTTGAGCAAGTCACTCTCCCTCTTTGGGCCTCTGTTTCCTCTGTATCAACTAGGGGAGAAAGACAGCTAACATTCATCAAGTTCTTGTTATCCACCCAACAACTGTATGGAATTATGGCCCTTATTATCCCCATTTTATAGATGGGGAAACTGAGGAACAGAGAGAGCAAGTTACTTGACTGGTGTCATATAGCTAGGAAGTAGTGGAGGCAGGATTCAAGTCCAGGCGATCTAACTCTGGAACCCACACTCTTCGTCACCATGGGACACTGCCCACCTGCCTTCCCTGCTTTCATTTTTGAACTGATTTGTGCTATGGTGAAATATTCAAGCAATATAACAGGGTACACGGTAAGAGCTGTCTCCCTGGCAATCCCACCCCTGGGAAGTTGTCCCAGGGATTTTGCACAAGGAAGAAATGACAGATACACAAGGAGAGTCACTGTAGCCCAGGATTGGAAGCGGTTTCAGTGACCACTAAGAGGGGACGGTAGGGCGTCTGCATGATGGACACTGAGCCTGTACAAGGAAGGTGCAGGACGGTGTGTGTAGTAACTGCCACTGGTGTAAAATAAAGGGAGATATATGTATTTTCTTACACAAGTATTAAGCATTTGGGAAGACTCATAAGAAACTGGTTGCTTCTGGGGAGGGGAAGTGGCTGGTTGGGGATAGGGTGGAAGGAAGACTTTTCACTCTGTTCTATGTCCTTCCCCACTATTTGCATTTTGAAACAAAGTATTGTCTACTTCAAGGAGGGGGAGGAAGATTCCTCCCCCACCCCCTTCCTTTCCAATGCCCTGCCCACCCTCCCCCAAGGCACCCTCTGCTGGCGGCTCCTTGATGCAGACTCAAGAACGTGTGAGTGCACTCGGCAAGCCCGATGTCTGTTTAGGTCAGTGGTTTTCAAGGTGAGTCCCTGGACCAGCAGCATCAGCCTCACCTGAGAACTTGTTAGAAATGCAAATTATGAATCAGACAGTTGAGGAGCAGGGCCCAGAAACCAGCATTTTAACCAGCCCTCCAGGTGATGGTGATGTCCTCAAGACCGAGAATGACCTTTGTTCACAAATGATAGCCCATAATACATGTTGTCTGCACCCTGCCTTTTCCATTTAGCAAGAATGCTGCCTTGAGGAGTACCACCAGCAGGTGCCTCCTCTAAGGCTGCTGGGAAAGGTGGGGTGTGGGCATTCTGTGAGTGTTCAGATCCTGGAGTCTGGGAGCAGAGCACTGGATGCCCCAGGAGAAAGCCTAGAACGAGTAAGAAGGAACCAAGCCCCGCCTGCCGCGTGTATGGGGTGTGTTAGGGGGTGGTCCAGGACAGAAGGGTCAGAGGTGGGAGAGGGGCCTTCCTCACCGCCACAGAGGGGCCAACTTCACATAGCAAAGAGGTTTCATGTGCACTAAGAAGGGCATGACTTTAAGATGGGGAAAGCCCAAACATTTTAATTTTTAATAGGTCAGCATTTCAAACCCTCAACACCATTGAGCCAGAGGGAGGAGGAAGAAGAGAGAAAACTATAGGGACCGCCATTTCTTAACTTTTTGAATGGCTGCTTGTGAACAGGATCTGTCATCGCCCCGTAGCTTGGCCAATCTCGCCCACCACGCTGTGAACATCCCCAGGGAGCAGCCCTGGGTCACCTTGTGTCCCTGGAACAGGGCTGCTGGGTGCTCAACAAATGTCTGTTGGGTGATGGGACGGATGCATGAATGCCCTATAACTGTTTATGTTTTCAGAGTCAAGCTAGACACAGAGGAGAACCTGCAGCCTAGCCTGCTGTGTTACAGGGAGCTCTCTGAGGGCACGGGTAGTCCCCTGTCTGGCACAGGGCTTGGTGATGGGTGGGCACATATTTACTGAATGAACCAAATGAGGGATGGCTGACCAGGTGTGGGCTGGCTCGCCTCTCAGAAGATCCTCTTTGGTGTGACCATATCCTTCAGTCAACAAATATGTATTGAGCACCTACTGCAGGCCGGCCTGTGCTGAGGATGCCCTGGCAGACAGACAAGGTCCCTGTCCTCAAATGCTCCCACCTAGTGGGGGACACAGGCAGTGAAGGTGTGAGCAACCACAGAAACAAGATTGTTCTTGCTAGCGAGAAGTGTTCAGAAGGGAACAAAACAGGTCTCCACGAGAGGTCCCCACAGGGGATCCGCCTTAGGGCGGTGGCCTGAGACCTGAAGGGCGAGAAGGAGCCAGGCAAGAGCAGACCCCTAGGAAGAGTGTGTCATGCAGGGGAGACAGTGAGTGCCAGAGCCCCGAGGCAGGAACAAACCGGATTTTGCTCATACTTCCTTCTGTGGGGCAGGAAAAATGGAATACTTACTCCTCTGTCTCCAGAGAGTCAACGCGGGCAACGTAGTTGCTTGGGATATAGCCTTCTTTCTGGGTGGCCAGGGATCGAGCCTTCCACCATTCCCCAGACCTGAGGACAGGAGAGAGCAAAGGAGTCAGGGAGCAGAGGGAATGCCCTGGTCCTCCTGGGCCCCCCATCCTTGGCCTAGAATACCTCCCCCCCAAACCCAGGAAGCAGATAGGGTAAGAGGCAGGGTCACCACAGTCCCAGCCCCAGCACGCACTCCATCATTAGGGTAGGGATCTTTATAACAGTCCCCACTGTGCATCTGAGGGTCTAGAATCAAGCCCCGTCCCTGCATTCATAGCCCACAGCCCTAGGCCTCTGGCCCCACTCTTCCCCCAGACTTGCAGTGGTCCATACTTAGGGTATGGGGTCCTGTGCCCATGGCAGACTCATTTGGGCTAACAGCCACAGAGAGTGGTGTGACCAAGCATAACCACTCCCATTCTTGAGCCCCAGCACACAGTGACACTACACAGAGGGTGAAGACTATAGGGGACTGGAGGTAGGAAACTTCGAGATCCAGAGATCTGTGAAAGCAAAGGTACCTCCGCAGGGTCTGGTCTACAGATAAACCTGTAGTTTAATTACAGGAGCCCGAGGAAGGCCTCCCTGAGAAAGTACTTTCACCTGTTCATTGTTGCCTGGATGTGCACTGCTAGTAAGTACACAAGCTCCTTTGTTGTGGCTCTCGTCCAGGTTAACAGCAAACCCTTCATCCTCTATTATGATTCTTATCAGCCATTTACCCTCTAGTATAAGATAGTCGATCAGGTTCTTTATTGACACACAAAAGAGAGCATGATTGAGTATTGGAGGTAGCTATGTCTTAGGAGTGGGATAGAGACTCACTCTTCCAGGACCACCATCTGATCTCCCTTCTGGAAACTGAGGTCTTCGTGGTGAATGGCCTCATAATCATAAAGGGCAATCACAACGATGTCATCAGGACCTGCTGGGAGAGAGACACGTGGGATGGTGAGGCTTTATCTGAGCACCACCAGGGCTCTGGGTGTTTTCTATCCCAACAACTGGCGCCCAGCCCTGGACCCACTGACATGTCTGTTTCATGGTATAAATAAGGATTTTGCCATGTGGGGTGCGATTCTAGAGTTTAAAGCTAAAGGTTTGCATTAGTAGACAGTGTAATAGAAACAAAATAGCCTGTACAAAGTACTTTGGGAACAATTTAAAAGATTTGCAAGGGTGATTTTGACTGTTTGGGATTTTTGCCTTAATCTCGAAGCACCTAACCTAACCCTCTACATGACACAAGACTCCACCACATTACGTTTGCCAAATACTTACCAACTGTGGACCCTGGTGGGTTGTTGTTGCTGTTGTCAGGATGCTGTGGGGAAGAAATGGGAGAAGGGGATGAATCTAATAGTGTGTGGGGAGCCACAGAAGGTCTGTGTCAAAACGGACACCCAAGAGTATCTCATCCCAGCCCTGTGTGTCATGGGAGGAGGATCTGAGAGGGCTGGGGACATATGTGAAGTCACACAGCCCATGAGGGACACCACAAAGATCCAGGTCTCTTGGGTTGTGGCCTTGGCCTTGGACATACTGGGGGCCTCCCTTGACATATGTGAGGGGGTTGGTCCAGATCAGTGTTTTCTAAGATATGTTTGAAGAAGCTGTAGGTCTACCAACATGTTCCATGCATAAAGCCTCCATTATGTATATGAAGGACCCTAAGTGATCATCCAGAAGGGATCTGATGCCTACACGTGGTGCTCCAACAGCCCTCAGGGAAGTGGAGCTTCATTCCCAGCACAACGAGGCCTTAAAGATACACTGTTGAGTGAACAAAGCTAGTTCTTCAGAATGAGAAACACGATCCATAGAGAACACGTACACACACATCCTAAATACGTTCTGTGGACACAAACTCTATGTGTGTGAGCAGGACACTGGTCAGAAGAAACTGTAGCTTTCACTGTAATTTGTGATTTTTCTTTTCAAGGGGAATGTGTTTGCATGTTGCACACTTAAGTAAACTTAGAGAAACAGGTATGGGAAACGATGAGAAGTTTGTCTTTTTGGGGGGAGATCCACAAAGCCCATTAAGATTCATGAAGCTCTGAGGACTCCCACAGGGAAGGAGCCTGTTTTGTCCAGTATTTTGTAAACTGATTTGGCCTGGGAACCTTTTCTCTGAGGAACACTTACTAACTTACCACTGAACTAATGCCCTGCAGGAGAACGACAAATGGCTGATAAGAGCATCCCTTAAATATGATGCTCAGAAGACAACCAAAAACTGGTGGGAGAAAACCCTCTGTTTCCTACTGGTGTCAAGCTAAGAAGGCCTTGGAGAACCTGGAGCCCTAGCCACAGAAAGGGCCCAGGGCCATGCAGGTTAGGAGAGAGAACACATCTAAGAGTGACTAAGGGTTTAGGATGTCAGTTCAGGACATCACTGGTGTGAGAAGCTCATATCATCTCAGGATGTATTAATAGAGATCAAGTGTCAGAGGGAGGGAGGTGACGATTCCACTGCCCCCCCTCCCATTCCCAAAATTAGCCCTGTTCTAGACATCATGCCTGGAGAAGGGCAAGCAGAATGGAGAGAGGCCAGGAACCCATGTCGTGTGAAAAGATGATTTGGAAGGAATGGGTGGGTTGGGATAAGATCTTTGCCTTCATTCTCTAGTGGTTGTCCTGGGGCAAAGGGAGTGGCTGTATTTGGTGCGGGACTAAGGGGTAGGTTTGGGAACAAGGGGTCAGGGTTATGAGACAATAGGCCTCCCTTCAATCTGAGGAAGAACTTTCTAAGGGCCTGCCCTGGAAGGAGAGAGCACCCCAGCCTCGGGGTTAGAAAGACCCAGTTCTGGGCGCCTGGGTGGCTCAGTCGGTTAAGCGGCTGCCTTCGGCTCAGGTCATGATCCCAGGGTCCTGGGATTGAGTCCCGCTTCGGGCTCCCTCCTCCGCGGGGAGCCTGCTTCTCCCTCTCCCACTCCCCCTGCTTGTGTTCCCTCTCTCTCTCTCTTCCTGTTGAAAAATAAATAAAATCTTTAAAAAAAAAAAAAAGAAAGACCCAGTTCTGGGTGCCTGGGTGGCTCAGTCGGTTAAGCGGCTGCCTTAGGCTCAGGTCGTGATCCCGGGGTCCTGGGATCGAGCCCCGCATCGGGCTCCCTCCTCCGCGGGGAGCCTGCTTCTCCCTCTCCCACTCCCCCTGCTTGTGTTCCCTCTCTCTCTCTCTCTCTCTTCCTGTTGAAAAATAAATAAAATCTTAAAAAAAAAAAAAAGAAAGACCCAGTTCTGCTGTTCCCAGCTGTGTGGCCCCGGGGAGGCATTTCACCTCTTTGAGCCTTAGTCACAGTCACAGTGGCGTAACTGTTGCCTCACAGCCTTTGGTGAGGACTAACGGTGTAGAAGCGCCTCGCCCCAGTGCCTAGAACGTAGCAGATTATTACAGCCATTCCTGCCACTACAGTACCGTCACCACCACTCCTGGTTCTGTTACTGTTGCTGCCACAGCGTCTCTTCTATCACGGTCACGACTGCAGTCCCAGGGGCCCTGCCGCCGTGGCAACTGTGACCCCCATTATCACCACGAGTACCGCCCTGACTGCGGTTCCTCATTAGCATTTGCCTTCCGCCTCTGTTTCTCCGGCTCCAACCCCTGGTACTTTGGCACTTGCACGGCCCAAGCTTGAATCCTGACCCTACCCCTCACTACCCGTACGGCCTGCAGCACGTTATTGAACTCTGTGTCTCACCTGTGTAATAAAAATTGAGACCTAGGATTACTGTGAGGCTTTAAGGTGTTGATAACCGTAGAGCACTTAGGACGGTGCGTGGTCTGTCGTGAGCCCCGAGTAAGTAGAGGATAAGTAAGCAAATACCTCTACTGGCATGACTACTTCTCTTACTTACTGCACCTGCGCTTGCCATTATACTCCCGCAGATCTTGCTGTTACAATTGTTATTATGGTTATTGCTATAGCACTACTTCGACTACTGTTGTTACTGGTCAGGTCACTGACTACTCTCAGCACTGCTCGTGCTACTGCCCAGGCTCGGGGCCTCTGCCCTGCCCACCAGGACCTGGTCCCTGGAGCCCGGGCGGAGGGGCCAAGGCCTGGGCAGCCGGACAAGGAGGAGTGATGTCATTGCCCCAGGTCCTTGGTGCAGATGTATTCCAGAGAGTTAGGGCACACTGTTGGTGACGGGCCAGCTCCATGTCACCCCAAACATACCCTGCTGACAGCTGGGAAAACAGGAGGCTGGTAGGGCAATTTGGGACAGCATGGGGCAGCCCCTCAGGCAGCCAAACCCCTTTCTTGCCCCCACTCACCCGCTTGCTTGCAGACGTGGGATCTGGCACATACACAGGGCTGTGTGGGTTGGTGCTGGGCTCGGTTTTTGAGACCTTGCCTCTGTCCTGGAGGAATTTGGACTTCATGCACCCCATCCTGCATCAGAGATAAGGGAAGTGAGCTTGGCTTGCCCAGAGCCCCACACAGGGAGTCCTAGATGCTGGGTTCCAGGTCCCCTGCCCTCAGGCTGGCTCCCTCTCCCCTACCCTGTCTCCCCCTACCCCCCCCCACCCACCGCCCCTGCCAAGCCCACTCAGTCCACCCTTGCCACCTCTGGGCTTCCCCACGTCCTTGTCTGCCACATACCCACACAGAGCTGACAAGTTGTCATAGTCATGCTACCAAGGACCCCTGCAATAGGGAGTTTATTCAGAGAATAAATCATGAGGATGATCAAAATTCAACATGCAGAGCCTTGGAGCAGAGTGGGTGGTAGTTACCACAGGTTCTGGGATCAGAAAGCCTTGAGTTGACACTTTACCCCTCCACCTCACCAACAGCTCACTCATCACTCACCCTACTCCTCAGTCTCAGTTCCTCATCAGCAAAGTGGGGATAATAATAATACAACATACTCGCAGGGTGTTGGAAGGATGAGAAAACATGTAGGCAGGGAAATACTTAGCACAGCGTGGGACTCAGAGCAAACAGTAAAGTGAAACTATACTATCATGTAATAAATTACCATTTTATATTAAATGACCAAGATGAGGTCACATAATATGGCTCAAACAATCTAGCTAAATAATAGTCAAGGCATCATCTTCCTTGTATCATTTTATAACTGCCTTATAATAGTTTCCTTCCTCCCTCCCTCTCTTTTTCTTTCTTCCTTCTTTCTCTCATAAGTTTATTTGGTCATTCATTCCTTTGTTTACTCAGTAAACACTTACTGAGCACTCTTCTACACCATGAATAAGATAAGCCAGTTCATGCCGTTATGGAGCTCACCCTGGGGATGAATGGGAGACACAGACAATAAACAGGTAAAAAATACATAACAAGATAAATTTAGTTAGTGAAAAGTGTGAGGACAATCATCAAGGATGTGATAGGAAACAACATTGCAGGGCTTTTTTAGACAGGGTGATTGGGGAAGGCTTCTCTGAAGAGGTGATGTCAGACCTGGTACCCAAATGGCACAAAGGAGCCTGTCATGTAACACAGTGAGGGAACAGTGTTCCAGGCAGAGGGAACAGCAAGAGCAAAGGCCCTGAGGCTGGAATGTGCTTGGAGAGAATGAGGTACTGAAAGGAGGTTGGTGTGGCTGGAGGTCACAGGCAGGGAAGAGGAGTGTGGTTTGGGACAAGGCTGCCACATCTTTTACAGCCAAGGAGGAATCTGGATTTGATTCTAAAGATGATGGGAAACCTGGAAAGTTTTAGGCAGGAGAATGATGGGATTCATTTGCATTTCAAATAATGGCTGCTGGGTGGAGTAGGGACTCTAGGAGGCAGGGCAGGGAACCTGGTCCACCGCAGGAGTCCAGGCATGAGATCCTGGTGGCCTGGCCCAGGGGTGGTGACCACCAGGGAGGTAAGCAATGGACAGATTCAGGGGGACATTTTGGAGGTAAAGCTGACCAGACTTTGTCGATGGGTTCAGGAAATTTAAAGATACTTAAAGAAAACATGTTTATTCAGTTCAGAGTCAAAACTTAATTGCAAAAGTGGCAGAAATGTTTTATTTCCTCTCTCAAAATGCTCACATGTACTTGCTGAGAAGATGAGCCATAAGCAGCCACATGAGAGAGTAATTGTTTTCCTCAGCTCTACACAATTGTAATTCTCTTCTAAATCAGAACTCAGTTTTCTTATCTTGTTAAAATAAACACATGTTTGTGGTTTAAGAAAAAAAAATCTGTATTTCTAGGCTTAGGGGAGTTATTTTTTTTAAAGATTCTTTTTATTCACAAGGATGTTTTTGTCTGTCCTTGTGGGAATTGGCAACAATTTACCACTTCAAGACTTAAGCGGTTTCTGCTTCATTTGCCCGTTGTGAATAAAATAAGGAACTTCTTCAGACTCCCAGAGTGCTGGATCATTAATTTGAAAAATTATCACAATTAATCACTGCTTTCTAATGTACTTATATGCATTTAAAACACCTCTCTTGGACTTGTGATAAATGGGTATTACAGTTCTGGAAATAAGACAGCATATTGTGTAGTTCTGTATGGCATACAATCATATTACATTTCATATTTTTTTGATTATATAAGAATGTGTTGGGAAGGACACTGCTGTGTGATGCAGGGCAACTCCTTCTGCTTCTCTGAGCACCTACTGAGTATCACTTATACCAGCAATTTACGTATTCGAGAGGGCCACAGGGTCCTGAGCGACGGGACTCTGCTGTCCTCATGTTGATGCATGATCCAAGGCCACCTCTAAGAAAGGACGCTGGGGTTCTACCGCACAGGGTGGTGGTGAGCACGGAATGAGGTGAAAAATGTAAAGGTTCCTGGCACACAGCAAACACTATAGAAATGTTAACCATAACCAGTTCTGTTTACTAGCAAACGTGGACCTGCCCTGGAGGATAAAGCAAACACAGACTGCAATTCCTCTGACCCAGGAATTTAGAGATACAGCAACACTTAAGAAGTTAACTCTTTATTTGTATTTTATTTTATTTTATTAATTAATTAATTTATTTTAAGTAGGCCTGAAGCCGAGCGTGGGGCTTGAACTCCCAATCCTGACATCAAGACGTGAGCTGAGATCAAGAGTCAGATGCTTAACTGACTGAGCTACCCAGGCGCCCCAAGAAGTTGACTTTTGAAAATAGGGAGTTCCCATTAGTTCAATTTTTGCACAATAAAATATGATTTTAAAAAAGTTATATACTGGCAGGAGTCAAATTTGTATAAAATGTGACTGTCCCCCTAAACCAGGAGAACTGTTCCACTGCTTGGCATGGCGTGGCCTCAGACATGCTCATTTTTGTGACCACCAGATCTGGAAATGTAACGGGAGCCATGTATATAATTTAAAAATTTCTACAGACATATTTTTCAGGTAAATAGAAATAAGTGAACTAATTTTAAGGTACATTTATTTTCCCTAACATGTCAAAAATTATTAACATGTACTCAGTATAAAAATTATCAATAAGGAGCACCTGGCTGTCTCCGTGAGTAGAGTGTGCGACTCTTGATCTTGGGGTCGTGAGTTCAAGCCCCACATTGGGCCGAGAGTCTACTTAAAAATAAAAATAATAAATGAAATTTTTAAATGTTAAAAAAATTACCAATGAGATACTTTATACTTGTTTTTTGCACACTAAGTCTTCCAATCCCAGTGTGTATGTTAGAGGTATAGCCCATCTCCTTTAGGACTCATCATGTTTCAGGTGCTCAATAGCCAACCTGTGGCTGGGAGCTGCTGAACGCAACAGTGTAGACACAGAACGTCTCCATCATTGCAGCACAGCAGAGGCTGGTCCTACTCCTGCCTGTGTCCCTCAGTGCTTGGCTTAGCATCTCCCTGGCACATAGTAGGAGCTTAAATCACAATTAGTGAATAAATGCATGCCCAGAGCCTATAATCAGTCCAAAATAAAAGCATCAGGACATGGTTCCTGTTCCAGGGACTGAGTTGAAAAGGGAAGACTGAACATACAGAATTATGTTCCAAAGTCACAAAGAAGCTGTTACATTTTGGCAAAGACAGTCAAAGCCGTGCAAAGATCGCCAAGACACTTAACGAGTAAAAAAACAAACTTCAGGGGCGCCTGGGTGGCTCAGTCGTTAAGCGTCCGCCTTCGGCTCAGGTCATGATCCCAGGGGCCTGGGATCGAGCCCCACATTGGGCTCCCTGCTCGGCGGGAAGCCTGCTTCTCCCTCTCCCACTCCCCCTGCTTGTGTGCCTTCTCTCGCTGTATCTCTCTCTGTCAAATAAATAAATAAAATCTTAAAAAAAAAATTCAAAAGATATATAATATCAAGCCATTTTTGTAAAACGAATACATCTGGGTTCTGCTACTAACATGTGTATGTTAATATGTTCATAGAAAAAGCAACCTGTTTATAATAATGAACAGCAGGATAACATTTGGGTTTTGAAGAATGGGGAGGATTTTAGTCAAAGTCAAGAATGTTCCAAAGGGTCACCTGGGTGGCTCGGTTGGTTAAGCGTCCGACTCTTGGTTTCAGCTCAGGTCATGATCTCAGGGTTGAGAGATTAGCCCTGCATCTGGGTCATGCTCAGCAAGGAGTCTACTGAAGATTCTTTCCCCCTCCCTTTCCCTTCCTCTCTGCTCCTCCTCCCTCCCACCAAATAAATAAATAAATAAATAAAATCTTAAAAAAAAAAAGAAAGAAATGCAGAATCACAGCCTGCCCCCAATCAGAATGTGCATTTCAACAAGGTCCAGATGATTTGTGTGATCATTCTAGTTGAGAAGCAGTGAACACTATTTACTCTTGCTTCCTCAGCATCCATCCCACTTCTGATAACAGCACCTGGATTTTCCTTGAGAAATCAGCCTTCTTCCACGCAATGCAAGGAGCTTCCGAAGGCTAACCCCTCCCTTGCCTTTAGGGATTGACAACTTGATACAGGTCTGGCCAATCAGAGGATTCCATGTCCCCCTGACAACCAGCAGTGGTTGATTTAGTTATAGGTATGAGTGTGATCCCAACTGAGGCCATCAGAATTGGCCCTGGGATTTTGCTGGGAAAATGAGGAAAAAGGCACTCTATTTCTATAAGAATAAGCTGATGTAGGTGTAGGTGTAGATGTAGGGAACTGGAGCACTTGGGAGTCGTTCTCACATCATGAAGGGAGGCACGGTCTTAGTGTGAAGCCATCACAGAGGTCAGCAGAGCTGAGCGATGGAGACAGAGTGATTCTTGAAGACATGTATGAACACCTGGATCCAGCGATGCCTGAAACTTGCCAACCTCAGGATTTTTCCAGTTTATGAGCAAATAAATTCTCAATTTTGTCTAAGATAGTTTGAATCGGATTTTTACTGCTCGCACCCAAATAGTCCTCACTGCTTCTTGCATATCCCTGGGCTACAATTGGGACTGAATGAAGCAGAATCTCTGGGGATGAGGGCCTGGAATCTGCATTTCTCATAATTCTTCA